TTATTCGCTTGGTGACTCCGTCTGGATTCATTGACCATCAGTCCCCTCCGGTTCGTGCCCTAGATCCTGTGCTCCATGATGACGACCATGGAAGACCGTACAACACATACCTCTCACTACGTATGTCTTGCGAAACATGTGGCGACCTCTACACAACCTCGTCTCCACCCATTATGGTAAGCTTAAACCTCATCATCCAGCAGTTGTCGAGGAGCCGCCGAACTCCTCACAGCGGCCACATGCTACTAGCTTCGTCGAGGCGCCGACTAATGACGGCAATGCATACCCCATACCACCGCCAGGCACTGAGGGCAATGTTTATAGAAGGGAGGAGGCGATGTAATGAGATGAGGACCAGTATAGTGTCACTAAATAAGTTTTCTTTATCTCCTCTTTCAGAAAGAAACTCTGATGTAACTCCCTGGAGCAAGAAGAGGGTCGTTTAGCTGGGATTGTTATAAACGATGACAATTAGCTCTGTGCTCGCTAAATTCGAACTCTGCTCAGTTTAAATGCATACCCCTCTCACCCCCCCCCTTCGTCTTCTCCCTTCTTTGTTTGTGGCTGTTGTTATCATAGATTACAGTGCGAAGATAGATGATACCCATATCCTAGAGTTAAACATGTGGAATCCAAAACCTACAATCATTATCAGTTTATCAATTATAAAGGTTTTGAACGTCTATAAACCTCCACATTGGACGGTGAGTGTAGAATAATTTTGGTATTAGCAGGTGCAAGGGACTAACAGATTTCATGATGGAGGTTGTTCCCTTATTCTTCATATGTGCTGACAATACGTGCGGAATATGTACCAAATGTAGAATCTAGTGATTACATAACTTCATTCAAGTGATACAAACGTAGACGACAGCATTACTATACATTTGCAGTGCTCCAATACAGCACCTTCGAAAAGTCCACCTAGGTTTTTCACATACAGGAATACTCCTGAAAATAACACCACTGTCAATGGAGTTGAAGATTGAACGATCAATTCTTGGTTGTTTGCTCAAAATCAACTTCCCCAATTTTCGCGGAGGCATCAATTCGACAGTCATCGTCTCATCGGTCGCCGTTCAGAAAGAAGTCAGCAGAAAACCGTCAGAAGTAATATTGTGATTTATTATTGTAATATTTGTTCACAGACCTTAGTTGTAACAGTGTTTATATGTTGGTGTTATAATAAAGAATTCTCGAGTCGCCAATCGGTGTTTTGGTTTTTTCGTCCGTTATTACTAAGCGTTTCTGAGAAACTTCAAGGAACAGTGTGAGCCCGAGTGCAGCAAGAGCTGAGCATTAACGGTTTACGAGGCGTGGCTGACAACCACAGTATTCCAATGGAAGCATTATAAATGTTTCATTTAGCGTGATGGTCTCGAAATTCTCTATGTACTCACTTTAAAATATTCTTTGCTAACGAAGTTGTTGTGCAACTTGGTTAGATAATGCAAGGTTTCTCGAGTACCTGAGTTCCCCTACAGGCTTTCATTTCTTAGGATAATTTTCTCCGCATTACGCCTTCCGCTGCAGTGGTGTCAGCGCAACCGTTGAGGTTCCTGAGTCTGTTTACACCACTTTTCGTGGAGCCAATGTGGTCCTGCACCCTTTCTGGCCATAAGTGACCTTCAAGACTTCTGCTTTCCCTGACTGGTCGGTATTCAGTGGTAGTGTTGCGTCTCACTGTGTTTCTGGACCAGCTATAAGTGATCTTCAATTGAAGACTATGCTTACCTGGTTATCCCATTGCTTACAACTTGTCACTTTCACGAGTATGTAATCTCCGAAAATCATTGGCCTACAGCATTTGTCGTACAACACTGGTTCTTGACCTTCACTGCCTAATTTGCCTGGTTAGACTGAGGGTACTCTGTCGTGTTACGGTGGGTTGTTAGCGCATACGTGGCAGCTAGATAATCAAGCATCACAGCTCCTTATTCTCAAGTCTGAAGCATATTTAGTAGTTTGAAAGATAGATTTTTTGTTTTGATCTGTCTAAGTTGCAAATAGAACAACCGCTTTGGGATTCGAAGGATAAACACTTGCATCTGCCTATAGCGTTTCTGGAGTAACCGTCGCCATCCTTCAGCTCCTAAACGGTTCTTTTGTACTCGGGTTTCCTCCTCTATTTTTTGTTAGCTTCGCAATGATTTTTTGATGTATAGCGACCTGCTTATTTAAAAGGCTGATTGATTTTACGCTTCTGATATCCGCGAAGATGCATGCTTGTCATGCACAACTTTGCCATAGTGATGTTATTAAGAGACTATGATGAGTTCACTATATTTGTGTAAAAAAATAATTTGGGCACCGTGGTGGAATATAGTTCTGTATCAAATAAACATATGTAATTTATAAGTGAATACATGTAATATGTAAGCCAGTTACAGTTTCTCATATGGAAATCCGACTAAGATCGCCATATATAATCTGGGTTCGCTAAACGTCACGTCAACTTTTCGGACTTTTATTATCATCTAAATGTATGTGCTTACCGGGAAACTCTCTTGGAATGCTTTCCACCACCTTGGGCTCAATAAACCGGAAATTAGTGCTGCCGAATAAAATTTGATGAAGGATACACAAATGTTGGATGCCGGTGAATCTGCCTAAAGGTGCGGTGCTGCTTTTAACTACGAGTACTTGCATCCAAAAGTATGTTCGATCAGTGCGTTTACTTTGTCCGATCATAAGGTCATCACATGGTTAATCATCACATGCTTTGATATCTCCTTTGATGTCTCTCTACGACTCGAAAATCTCGCCCGCCCACCTCACCCAATAACTTAGAAAATGTAGACTTCGCCGCATTCTAATTGTCGCCCTGTGATCTTACATATTACTTGCCCTGTTTGCTTGTGGAAACGCGAAATGCATTTGCCGTGTGAGTGAGTGAACAAAAATATTGAAAAATTAGGTATATTTAAAAATAGAATAAATGTAATTCTTCATTCGAATAATGTTTTTCATATTTCCACCAGGGCACTGTCGGAGGTCACCTTATAATCCAGCACTCATTTCGCACAAATTGTTATTTGAACCTACGAAATCGTTATTTTTCCACCACCCCTCTTACATTTTGCTTTGATATGCTGAAGTTGGTGTTAAAAGTGAAATTAGTCTTCGAATTTGTCCAAGTTAGCTTGGTGCTGCATGGTGGTAGGTAGCCTGGTTTGGTGACCACACTGAGAGCTTTACCGATTCAGGTAGCGTCAACATCAAGAACTAGATAAATCATATTACGCATCCACCGAATTTCTTCTTTGAGTAGGCTTCAATGGCTCAGTCGTAAAATTTTGACTGCAGAATCGGGTGAGTCCCCTTCTCAGAAAAAGAACGAGATTTTGTCAAGACTGTAGGCATGCCCTACTGATCAGTGCTAACTGGCGCAAAGCAAGATATAAGGCTTACAACCAATAGCCTAAAACTACCCAACGTCAACTTCAACGAATTATTTAAAATTAGTGGAGAAGTATTTGCGCGTACATTCTGACAGATTCACCGACATATTTTAGTATAACATTAAAATCTACATTGTACCACGAATTACAAATTTTGGTTGTTTTGATAGATTTACTGCTAATATATAGAAGTATGATAGCGGAAACACTTTAGGTGAACTGTGAAATGGACTTTTGAAAATATCTGCAGGTGAAGGCATTTATAAGACATAATGTCATTCTTTGATATCTGCGAAAAAATTCAGTGAAATTATACCCACTTAGTTGCGGGCCGGACTAACATGCCTACAAGACAAACTTTGAGTTAGCCGAAATTAATAAAGTGTCCGATTTGAGAACACATGAAATTGATTAAATGTGGGAAATAATCCTAACTTATTTTGGTAGAGAAGCCAGCGTAACGCTTTGGAAGGGAATTGTGCACCTGCCTGACGTTTTGATATAATGAATGAAACGAGTAGTGTCAATATAACTGAAGAATGTACGATCAATTCATGGTTGTTTACTCAAAACCAACTCCGAATTTCGGCGGGAGTCCCCGAAACTGCAATCATCGTTCCACCGTACGCTGTTCGCCAGAAGACAGAGAAATACTGTCGGAAACTTTGTGTGTATTAACCTTATTGTTGGTTCTATATTGTTACAAGAATAAAGAATTCCCGAATCACCAATCTGTGTTCTGTTTTTCGCGTTGTTTATTGAACGTTGTTGCTCAAGGTCTTCTAAGGACAGCGTTGAGCCATGTGAGGTAGACCTGGATATTGGCAAGTAGTAATTTGATAAAGAGCTGGGATAATAAGACTTATTGTTGAACATAGGTCTGACTATTTAGAACAAGTTCTCCATGTGGAATGTGTAACGAGTTTAACTGGGTTCACCAGACCACATCTTAGTGGGAATTTGTGAGAAAACGTGGAAGAAATGGCAGTTTATTGATGGGTGGAAACAAACAGAAACCCTTTTTCACATCCCCTTATTAGGAACACCGATTCCTGCTAAATTATTGGGTTGCCAAAGTAGATTTTCCTATTCTATACGTACAAGTGATTCACATTTCTGACTAATACAAAATTATGGAGGTCAATACACACAAGTATTCCTCCTCGTGAGATATCAAGCTCTAACAAGCCTGTGGCAAGTACTTTGGTATTTGCATTTTTATGGATTCGTGACTACATCGATCATGAAGAATAAAAGTAAAGAGACGCTAGTATTACTCGGAAAGAGAGGCCTTTTTTTGAGGTAATCTAGCAGTTAACTGGAAAAAGCAACGTAATTTCTAACACAAATAAACATTAGATTTGTAGTTTTCTATTGGTTACTGAAAGACATTCTCTTTTTTAATAACAATCAAAATCAAGAGAGATTATTATGGTTTGTTGGTCATGGAATGACCACTGGGTAATTTTAATATTTGTTAATTGACTATAATTAGGTGCACTGAATTCACTCGAGAAGGAGAAGAGGGAAATTTTACAATTTTCTTTACCCATCGTATGGATATTTAATTTAAGCTGAATCTATATTGAGCTCAAGGTTGTAGAAACCGCGGGTTTTGGAATTTTTCACCCAGATGCTGAGATAAAGTCTACCAGAAGAGTTTGCAGGTATAGATTATCAATTTTATTAGGTTTGTGTGAGATTTTCTTATTCATGTTATGATATGATTTCAAATTATGACTTTCAATGCCTTTCAAACGCTTCGTGACTAGAAAACAACCTAAATACCGACGTACTATGCAGTACAAAAGTGTACCGCTTATCTAGGAGTTTTAGAAAGATGAATTTCATGGATTATTTGGCGACGTTAAGCTATGGAAGCCACCTTGACTGGTGATTTTGAGAAATTAATACGGACTAAGGAGCAATAAATTTAGCAAGATTGCGAAGTGGATGGCTATAAATCCTGGTGTTCTCAGATTCGCTTATATTCCTGATTCTGTTTTTTTCTGCATATCATTAAATACTCTGAAAGAGTGATTAGCGTTGACGCTGCAGTTCGTTGTTTAGAAGTCGTCACCCATGGAATGCCATTCATCTGGATTTCTAAATGTACAATATTCGTGTGTCATTATTGAATCCCACTGTCAAACTGGATTTTGACCATGGATACCGAAATTTTGTTAAGCATTCTTCTGTGAAGATTTACTGACTGATTCTATCCATGGGTGTCTAGGATCGTAACCTGACACATGAAATGACACAAGTAGTTGAGTTCTACTTTTGCACTTCCTACTGAGTCATTTTTGGAAATAGTCTGATTTCCGGTCATCCATAAAATTCCATATGTACTTCATGTGGATTCGTCTGCCTCTTAATGGTTGTATGATTTTATCTGAAAGTTGGAGTAGTCAGAAGAATTTATGTTTTTCATTGTAGGCTTCTTCGCTATATTGTTTACATTAGATAGAGTTTAAGTGTATTTTTAGGTAATGAGAATGAGTCGACACATGTAGTTATAGATCGTCATCGATTCATATTCCTGGGACGTGCTTCTGTGGCCTAACCACCGTCCTAATCAACAACAATTGTCGGATGATTTAGGATTTGTTTATAAAAGGATTGTAGGTGACAAAACCAAAAATAACGTCATTAAATGAAGTCATCGACCACTGGTTTGAAATACATAGAGTTGTATCAATTGCTACATTGCTGTCTTGAGGACGCTGAAAATCAGTAGTTGCAGACTCTTTGTGATATGACTGAGTTTCATTTGCCCAGGTAGAGATGTATGCACCCCACTTCTGAGAAGCATTACTTATCTACGCCCATTTATTTCCCTTGGACTCCTTTTTACCCTGATATCATTTTACTTCTGTCCTCAAGAAGTGCAATGACATCTGTTTAGATTCTTATCCAGACCTGTCAGTGAAAAATATTCACTAGAAATTAGCGTGGAAAACAATATAGTTTCCTTGGTATCTGTACATGTCTTCTACAATTTCAATTTCCTACGGGTATTGCCCTTTTTACTAACGAAACTTGCTATGAATTAGTTAAGTGCATAGGTATCACAGAGTTAAACTCACTGTACATATATAGGCTTAGATAGTTGAATGTTACTGCCACCACTTTCTAAGTACATGTGAGTATTCGCCATTGTACAACTACTAAGCGTTTCCTCTCATTGCAAAACCAAACTTAATTTGTGTCCCAGATCATACTTGTTGCCATCAAGCCTGTCAATGCCTTTATTTTCGATTCCTTTATTGGTATTTTTGGTGGTAACAATTCAGAAACATACCTATGATTTAATTTATCTGTTCTTAAGTCTTCGACACAACCCATTAGGTGTCTGTTATGTTGTATTTCCCAACCATGTTGTTTTGCATTTTGTCCAATATTCGGTAGTACTGCTTATGAAGAGAGTACAGTTGAGTTATTTAAACTCATTGATTTATGTCCATATAGACGGTTGTTAATTATTTTTCAAATCCTAGTATTTGTCTTGAAAGTTTCATAAATGCGATTACACCAAGGCATGGTATTAATCTATTAAGTTTCCGACTTGTATGAATAAGGATCATTGACCGTTCGGTGTCTCGAAGCCTGTACAATATCTTTCAAAACCGCTACCTAAAAAATGAATCATCAATACCCGATGTCGTCATATATATATATTGTGGCTCATTAGCTTAGGATCTCGGATTTTAGCTATTGAATCCTGGGCTTCAAACACTTTAGCTTGAGCAGCTGGGTAGCCTCAGTAGCCCTTACCCAATAAATGCTGTTCATGGCCTAGTAGATGTAAAATGTTGCAGGTAACTGAGTTGCAACTAGTTCATAGTCTACTTTCTTTATTGTTGTGATGATTGTATTATTTACATATATTTGATCATCAAAACTATTGGTTTCTTTGCTTGATAGTATGTCACATATCACCTGAAATGAAATATCAGTGTAAAGATGAGAAAAGGACGGAAGAAATAATCATAACAGAACACTCGAAAGTTTCCACATTTTATTTATTTTCATTCTGATGTAGAAATAAAACAGCATTCCAGCCCAATTTTTGGGTGTTTTCGACTTGGATCCATAGTCGATAGTCTCAGAATAGTGTTCTCTTATCTATAGGATGTGACTTATGGTTTTTTTTGCATACAGCAAGATTTATTAACTTTAAGTATTTATTACCTGTTTCTGGACACTCCACTGCCTCAAACATGTTTCAGCGTTAACGTATAATGTTTTGAGATAAGTGAAAGATTGCTGCTGACATTATAAATTATTTTACACCTTATTTGAGCTGTTTGAACAGGAATTGTCATGTGATGCAGCAGAAATAACTAAAATGCCCGGTTCTTCCTTCGAAAAAAGGACCAAAAACACTACTTTTTTTATAACGATGACCAAATTTTGCACTATTAGGTAACTTCACTGTTTATTTTGAGCGGTAAAAGCAGTGGTATGAATTTCCTGCCATAATCATTTTCTCCTGTAATTTTGAAAACACTTGCAAACTTTTCGAAAGCCCTTCTCTGTGCTAAATTGCGCCAAGTTGATGACAGCTGTGATGTCTGAAAATGTTATTGGTGTGATTATTTCCATAGTTGTGTTTTTGCTTGAGCATACAACTGTTGTGCTGTTCTTGTGACATGTGGTGTGCATTTGTATCGGCAGTGTACTCTGTACTGGCAGTCCTGCTCTCTAGGAATAAAAAACACTTCCCACTACTTCGTCGTTCGAGATTTATCATTTATATGATTTTTCCACGATTCAAGCATGTGATTTTATTTAGAGTTGAAAACTGGTGTATTGATATCACGACTCATGTGAGCTATTCCTGCGAAATGTCTGAGTACAGTTTCTGTGGTTGGTAATTACCTTGATATTCGAAAACGGGCACTTTCATGTGTTACTTTTATTTTGTATCTCCGTCAAAATTTTATGCCTTTTGGAGCTTTATTTTATTTTTTTAAACAGTATCTCATTCATGACTAATAACATGGCAAATAACCATTTATGCTGTTTTTACGGTATTAATAATTATGTCACCTAGCTGACAAATTTCATTAATTTCGAGAATCAATATGACGGTTAATTTATTCTTTCATTTCTGTATTTTAGCTTATTTGGATGTAAACTGTCATGTTGGCTACTTATTTTACATGGAGTATTCTTAACATCTACATGGTTGCCTTTTGGATCACAATTTGGTTTTTGAACTACTGTGAAACTTTCGGTCAGTTGGTATATTTATTTTAAACTTTTGTTTTATTTTTTTAATGAGTTACTGTTCCTCCCAAACACTTTTCAATGTGTACAAATGTATCTCAGTAGATTTATACGTTGGTCGTTCAAAATAATCCTTCGAATTCGTAATTGTAGAGTTAATCACAGGGCATTGTTGTAAAATCCTTTCAAAACATGTGATTCAAAAGCAGCTTAGTGTGACCACTATGGAATAAGTAGTTTGAAGATGATGAGTGGTGAAACTTACGACATCTCAAAATTGCTAAATAGCTGCTGTATTTTCATTCAAAATGACTTAGCAGTTCACACTAATTCTCACTTGATGCTGGTGATAATCAAAAGTCCATAACTAAAGACAGTCTTCAGTGCTCCAAAGTACCTTCTCTCGCTAGGGAGTCGAGGTCATGGAATTTATAAATTATCTACTTTGCGGTCCTAATTTGTGTTGCTTTTGCTAGACGATTATTATTTATCTTATTTAGACAGAGAATCTTGGTGCAGTATGGTACCAAGAAGATGCGCCACACATTAATAATTTAACAACATAGATTAAAAGTAAAAATATAGATAGAGAATGGCTAAAGTACTTGATCTGGGAGGAAAACAGTCATTTAACATGTTCAAACAGTACACGTCAAATATCGTCGGAAAGGGAAGAAGGAAGGAAATTGCAGCACGTTCGTCATTGATTGCAGTTATTGGCCATATTCGATAACGTTTTGAGCCACTGATCCGAGCTATCTCTAGGACTCCGACCAGGGAGTTGTGATACACCAACCGAAGCTGACCACCTCTTTACTTTTTCCAACCCATTTCGGGGCTAGCGAACAGAGACCTGGACGAAAGTCTCTGGGATGAAATTCGTAGCACATTCTCAAGCCACCAAAGCCTCTATGAAAACACTCAGCGAATTGTGATCTCCACTGTGTCAAACACACGCCGCCGGACCTCAGAATTACTCACACGATGATGCCATCGAACCCTAGCAATCAAGCGGAGACAATTATGATCAAATATACAGACTCGCCGCACATCCTCAGCTCAGAGATGCCAGGTTTCACAGGCGTAGAGCAAGACAGCCCGCACCGAAGCACTGTGAACCCAACCTTTGACAGCCAGACTGAGGTCGTGACAGCTCCAGAGGTGGCTCAAGTTAACGGATTCCACCCTAACTTTCATCATACGGTTGTAAATCTCATCCGTCACCCCTCCGCCAGCACTCACACAATTAACCAGATACACAAACTTATCAACAACTTCAAGCGACTCACCTGCAAAAGTGAGTGCCGGTGCAGGCGCCTGCCAATCTTGTAACAGTACTTTGCACTTAGACAGTGCAAAGCACACACCATACTTACAGACACTGATTGCCAGCTGCTTAAGTGCGATTTGAGCAGCTTGCATGCAGTCATGACATGGATAATAAGACGAGTATCTCATTATCCAGAAAATTTAAATTAGTCGATTGCTTTTAATCAAACGGTTTAGTGTCCAACACCAGGATGAAGGAAATCTTTAAGTGTATGAAAGTAATTTCAAGAAAGCAAGATTTATGATCAGACCTAAGCAGAATTGTCATGACTGCGAATAGCATCTAGATACAAATATGGTGTTTCTTCATAATAACCATGCTAAACATTATAGAATAAATATGTGCACTATTTATCTTCCTGAATCATCGTTATTTAGGTTCGAGAAAAAATCATGCTTAGTCGATTTTCATTTATGGCGAAAGCCTAAAAACTTTCCCGCTAGTTAACTGATTGGCGTCATAAGATTATTATATGTGTATTTGTTAGAAAATGATTTCCCGCCGATGACATTGGTTGGTGGTTGCGCTAAATTCACAAATTTGTGGAAGTTAGAATCGGGGCAAGTGGCTGAATGATATACAAGCTTGCCTTGTAACCGCAAGGTCCTGTGTTCGAACCCCACAGTGTGGGTGCGTATTACCGATGATTCTAAAAGAGCTAGGATGAAATAGCTTTCCAGTACACCCTAGTTTTCAATGGTTCTCTAACTAAAATCAATCCGTAGTCAAACTTGTGAAAACAAATCAAATCTTGAAGATAAATTGAGCCAACTTCCTGCAAAAATCAAAATTTTTATCAACAACAACAGTTCACTTAGTTAGGTCAAAGACTTTGAAAGTTCCAGGTAATATAGCATAGCCGTTTCTAAGAACTCTAGGGAAGAATAAGGTGGAGGGGGAACGATGCAGAAGAATGGGTAGAATACATGAGTTAATAAATTGTTAGAGAATGGGTTATGTCTGAAAGTCTCAGCTTCCTTATGTAATATATCAAGCGAGAGATTTTCGTAGAAATCAACAAGATCAGAGAAGACTACCAAAGATTTGAAGAGAAACTGATAATAATATAAGTGATATTCGACTTATTCCCTACCACAATACAGTCGTTATTACGGGAATCATTGCACTGAATCAGTCCACACAAGTCTTGTTTACAGCTACATAATAGACTCATATGAATTCGACTTATTTGACACTAGTAACTAGTGTGATGTGTCTAGTCCTCACATTGGTGCAAACTGAATTGTATCAGTCAGGTTTTGCAATGTGGCCACCATGCCACTAGGTAGCTCGTCATCACGGTACACATTGATTTGATGATATTAGATAGTTGGAGGTAATCGACCACAGGAAGCCATGGACCTAGGTTTCGTGCGAGTTGGCACTCGTTAGCAAGGCGTGTGTGCAACCTTAAGGGAACTGCGGTCCCTTCTGGCGAGCTACCTAGGATGGCGGCCACATTACAACCTGACTGATAGAATTCAGCCTGCACCGAAAAGAGAGGACTAGACACATCACACTAGTTACTAGTGTCAAATCAAAATATCCACTACAGTCCTACAGCAGGTCAATCGCGAGCCCGAATAGCTCAGTGGTAACGTCTCTGACTGCATCACTGGGTGACGCGGGTTCGAATCTCCGAAAGGATGTGAGTTCCTTCAAGGTTGCAGATACGCCTTGCTCGTCGGAGAGTGCCAACTAGCACGAAACATAGGTAAAGCAAGGCTTCCTGTGGCCGATTACCTCCAACCATCTAATATCATTAAATCAATAATTTCATCAAGAAAGGTGAGCTTAAAAAGCTCTAGATCAGTCTTTGTATGAATTAATTGTCACCTTGATGAGCATTTTGAAATGCTGACATCTCATTCGTCATCTGACAAATGACGCTTTGAGAATATTTTGCAAGAAAATTAATATGAATGGATTCAGTAGTTTCGACAGTCGTGCATTCATATACATCAATCTAGGGTGCTATTGTGCCTATAATCATCAGTGTTTGCTGATGAAAAGTTCTAGGATAAGGCAGTGTAATCGTTTTGCATAACTTGACCTATTTATAACACTTTATCGTATGCCTGGTGCAAAATAGTGCTAAGTATGTCCGAATTTCATTCTATTATCGTTAATAGGTGATATATATATATATATATATATATATATATATATATATATGTTTTAGTTAACGAAAACTAAAAAGGGGAAAAGTTTTGGTCGATATTTTCCTTTCAACCTTTTGGTTCTTTTTTCATTTCAGTAGATTTTCATACTTCCCTCTCCCTCTCTCTCTCCCTGACCCCCTACTCTATCCGTTTTATTCATCTTTTTTTTCTCCATTGACGCACAAAAGCCTGTGTGTGTATATTTGTATATGAATCTGTATGTAATCATGCACACATTTGTCTGTATTTGTTAGCTTATTTATTATTATTATTGTTTTTTTGCTGTGTACTTGTATGAGACATACCTGCTGTCTTTGTTTTTATTATAATAACAATACTAATACTAATTGTAATAATGACAATAATATTTCCCCCTCTGTATATTTCATGATGCCTATCTTTTTCTTTTCTCTTTCTGCTATCTGACTCATCAACGTTGGTTATCACTTTTTACGTATCATCTGTCAGGGTGTATGTTTACCTTAGCAACCTGTATTGATTGGTCTTTTAATGTACACAGTATAAAACGATTGTCTCTTACCTTTGATACTGTATATTATTATCAGTTGCATTTTTTTAAAGGTTATCTATGCCACCTTAATTACAACAGACGATATATTCCTTTGGTTGTTGATCTACCAAGTGAATCAGATTAAAGGGAAACACGCTATTTTACGTGAAAATAGTGTTTGTATGTGTGTGTCGTTGGTTCAGCAGTAGAAAGCTGCTCGTCATGCGTGTACGTGGTTCTGATCTAATTCTTGGCCGATAAGCTCCTAAACCTCACTTAAGCTTGCGGCTGAAGACCCTACTGCGTAAATAACAATACTATTACTACTGAAGCTGGACAACCGATAAGAAGACTTTGGAAGGTCTAGATTTCTCAGATTTTATATGCCTAATGTTACACAAACTCGAAGACTTGCAGGCAGGCGAAAAACAGCAAACTGGCTGAAGAGGCAGCGAAAACAGGACTTCAGGTGAACACAAAGAAGACGGAGGTGATGAAGATAACCAAACAACAGCAACAACGACCAGCACCCAATCACCATCACCGGGAGAGGTTTAACGGAGGTTGCCTCCTTCATTTAACTGGGAAGCATCGTCTCAACTACAGGCACACGGAATGGACGAATATGTCAAAGCCAGTCAGCATCGGGAAGGCAAGATACGCCTTCATCAACCTGAAACCAGTTTGGAAATTTTCTGCACTAACTCAGCCAGCATAAAGAACAAGATTCTCATTTTCAACACCAATGTGAAGTCACTTCTTCTATACGGGTCAGTAACTTGGTCAGCGTGTCACGAAAAGGATTTTTAACAGGTAGTAGGCTTTCATCAACAGCTGCCTTCTCTGGCTGCATACTGAAGAACAAGTGGCCAGAAAGAATAAGGAGCAAGAAACACTGGCCGGGAACAAACCAACAGGCAAGAGCCGATCGCTCAACAAATATGTAGGAGATAGAGGAGGTGAATCGAGAATACATTGAGGAGGCCGCCGAATGACATCGCATGCCAGGCCCTCGAGTGGAATCCCGCTGGGAAGCAACGAATAGGTGGTTGGTGTGAGGGTGACATGGAGAAGATCGTGTGAAGAAGGGATGAGATTGTTTAGTCAATCGTGGACCCAGCTGATGGCAGAAAACAGAACAAAGTGGCGATGTTTTTTGGAGCCCTATGTTTTCACTCGGAAAGCAAGGGAATAATAATAATGATGTTGATTTCTACTGAAACTTTAAATTTCAACGCTTGAAGTCGTTCTATGTTCCACATAGAATGCATTGTTAGGGAATGTTTATAGCCATATCAGTAATAATGGATGCATGGATTGTCCACGTAATCTAACTCTATGTGTTGAAATCTGTTGAATGAGTTTGGTGACATACACTTTAAAGTAAAGTGGTATTCACACCTAGCGAAGTTATCGATTCAGCATTGTCTACAATAGACACAGAGTGTTAAGTGCAATCACAAGTGTGTTTGGCAATGTGAACCACTAATAGCCATTGCAGTTTTAGTTTATCTTGAGTGTAATACGTGATTGCAAAAAAGGTTGTATTGTCTTTGTCTATAGCTGTTGATTGTTAAAGATGTTATCAAAGTGTAAGCGACAGGAGATTTGACGACCAGGGGGTTTTAGATATGATAGCGTATTATGAAGATATTAAAAATAATTGTTGTAAATAATCACTTTATAGCAGTTCAGGATTTCATCATGAGCTGACATTAGTTAGAGAACCATTGGAAAACCTGGGAGTACTGGACAGCTGTTTAGCCCTAGCTCTTCGGGACTCTTCAGCAGTACGCCCTCACTGGGATCCGAACCCAGGGCCTTCTGGTGGGTGTGTACTGATGAAGAGTCCCAAACTAGGATGAAACAGCTGTCCAGTACTCCTTGCAGGTTTTCCAATGGTTCTCTAACTAATGTCAGCTCATGATGAAATCCTGTAACCAATCAAGCAAATCCCTACAAACCAATACTTGAATATTATAACAGTTCAATTTGACACTATGTGAGTCCATGTATAACTATTGATACTTACAAATTAATTGTCTCCAATCCCTATTCGCTATTATACTGTTCTCATATTAATCTCCCTTAACAATGTATAGTGAGCAGAGAAAGTGTATATCTTGACAATGTGAGGAGTCGTAGTACTGTACTTTGCTAAATTCCTTTATTTTACGATCAAGTTTAGTTAAGTTACAGATGGATTCAGCTGGCGAGATTTTCGTGGGTGAGGTCAGAATTAATGGCAAGGTGTTTTTTTAGGCATAGTATAACAAACGTCACGACAGATATTTCAGCTGCGATAAAAAGTCGACAGAACACCTTTAATAAAACTGCCAAAGGTAATATCTATTATGGTTACAATACTCACTTAAGCACATAATACTAATTCACACAGGAAGCAATTACCTATGGAAGCTTAAATAGTAATTGTGACCGTCTCTGTTTTATTCATCCATGCAGTTGGAAATGAAAGGTATTTAAATCCCTACAAAACCAATAGTTGAAAATTTGATCTGATGCTCACTAGCGACTGGCCCTATTCAGGCAGTTAACCTGGGATTCTATTGGGAAGCCGTGGCCAGTAGGGTACAGCAGGTTGGAGATAAGGCAGTAATTCATCGAAGAAGACATTGTGAAATGGTCGCGCTATGTCGTGAATTAGCAGAAGTTACAATTCATGGACTGGCTATTGGATCGGGTCCCAGTGGCTCAATGGTCTACGAGCTAGCTCGCCTTGTAACCAGAAGGTCCTGGGTTTGAACCCTGGTCGGTGGGTGCGTACTGCTGAAGAGTCCCAAACTAGGATGAAACAGCTATCCAGTACTCCCTGCAGGTTTTCCAATGGTTCTCTAACTGATGTCAGCTCATGATGAAATCCTGCGTGCAGTCAAACAAAATCCCTACAAAAACCAATACTTGAAAATTTAAATTTGTCTTGGCAATAACTTATCCGATTTTCATTACATGAATAAACTTTTATATTAATTCAGTCAATTTAATTTTTACTTTTTATAAGATATTACTTATGAGAAATTGTATTGATGTAAGCTGTGGCTAACTGGCTTGAGCTGCTTTGATTTTGTTAAAATGAGTAGATAGTTGCATCTTCTTGTCATTTTAAGGTGTGAGTACCCAGGTATTGTCATTATCTGTCGTATAATAGGTCTACTTCACGCATTGCTGCACAAAAGTACATATGGTTAGTTATTTGTGTCACCCTGTTTATTCAAGTTTGGGGTATATGTGCGTGGGGATTTCATTTTCCAACCTTTGTTGTTTATTTACTTAGAGATACTATAACAGTGATAATTTAATGTAAAGTTTTATTGTATATCATATTTTCTTCTTTTGTTAATACAGTTCTACCTGAATTCCAATCTCTACCTGAGTCAACTGTCTATTATACTGGTAGTGAAACACTTGAAATATGCTGCGATATTTGGCCGAAATCGCCTATAGGTCATGTAACATACTATTCAACATATCATTCTCCGTACTCAACTCATGTGAACACTTCTGACCAAATATCCACAAAACATATGACTGTGCATCATAGGAATTTGTATCGTATGCTTCCTAGTCTCTTGTGTGAACATCATCCATCTGATGGGAATAAACCACAGTCGTCAATCAATTGCCTTTGCTTTTCAAATATTTCTATTGTTGAACAGTTTTCAGGTGAAGAGATTTACTGTTTGGGTAGCAGTGATTTTGGTTCGATCTTAAGTCGACCGTTTCAAGTATTATTGAAAAGTGAGTTGAATTTTCATTTATTTATTGAATTGTTATTTTGTGTAGCCAGTAGTAATTTCATGCGTGAAGAGAATCACTATTTGACATGGAAATTATCAAACTCCATGCAATACTGAACTTAAATACACCATATCGCTATCAGTTACCATTACAGAGGGGTTCATCAGACCACCGGTGGTTCTTCTGTAGCACATGCTTGTTTAGTGATCGCGATTCGTGTCTGTCCTTGCATACAACATATGACATTGAGAAGTGGGAAGCCTTTTCGAGCCGAGCTTAGTGACGAGAACACGAGGGAGTGGCGTGTCCCCTTATCTTCATTTTGCTGTAAAACCAACCATATATATTGTGTTTCTGACGCTCAGGGACAGTAAAAAGTTGTCTACTGATTGTGGCAGTTTTTCTTACAGTTAATGAATGTACAGAAATGCATCACTGTCGGCATCAAGCCCAAAAAGATGCGAAAGCAGTTTGAATATGTAGACTTATAGGAGTTACTTCTAGTAATTACAAGCAGTGATAGGCAGAAAAAGTTAAATTATTGGAAAAACCGTTCATGATGAGCAATGTGTGACAGCTGTTCAGCTTAATCAAAGAAGCTCGAGTTAGTAAACCAGGGATTATCAAGGCCCATATATGAGAAGAATAAGAAGATCAGAATGGTAGTAAAGTAACTTTGAATTGGTTACAGGATTTCATCATGAGCTGACATTGGTTAGAGAACCATTGGAAAACCTGGGAGTATTGGACAACTATTTCGTCCTACTTTGGGACTCTTCACAGTACGCACCCACCGGGGTTCGAACCCAGGACCTTCTGGTTACAAGGCGAGCTCGTAGACCGTTAAGTCACTCGTACCTGACCCAACGGTCAGTCCATGAATTTTAATCTCTGCCAATTCACGGTATAGCGCAACCGCTAGCCAATATCTTCGGCGAGTATTTGTCCTCACACCCGAGCGACATACTATACTCAAAACTTCATTGGGTTAATAATACGAATAAGCCTAGAGCCTAATGTCCCCATAAAATCTATTTTGGAATCAACCGTCTCCTGTAAACCATTACTTTGAAATAAGAGCAGTTTGACAGGAAGTTACGGTGAGCAGAACAAAAGATCGTTGGCGGTTCAAGTTGTGTAGGTTGCTTGTTAGTGTCTGTATGAACACAGGTATCCGAGATTGGGGACCTTGATCCAAATGATAAATGTGTATTCATGCCTGATCTTTATCAGATCTCTTTTTTGTTCCTCATTTCTCTCATAACAGTTTGTGACTTTCTAGTTTTTGTTTGTATTCATTTTTATTAGCGTAGTGACTTAAATGTACAGAAATTCATCTTTCTAACTTCTTTCTTAATGTCTGTTTCGCAAAAGGCTGAATGTATATTGCCACGCTTTCTAGGATGAGTATCATCGTCATGTTGTAGTAACTGTTTAGCTGTCCCCCGTAAATTAGATTCGCGAAGGTCGTGTTATTAGTCTTCTCATTCACACATTAAACATACATGTATATGATAGGGATGACTGGAGAATACACTCCAAGAGCGGTGGTCACCTACCAACTGTTTTCAAAAGAAATTGATAACTACTTAATTTATCTGTGTCTGTTGTCTCATTTGCAAATTGAAACCCTCTTTGTCTATGTGTTAAATCGATGTTAGCTAGCAGCATGGCTGAGTTTTGACATAGAACTGTGCACAGAAGTGCACAGCCAGTCAAAATTTCCACACTTTATATACTCGGGAAACGAGAGAAAAAAGAAATTTTAAAGAACTGTTATGAGCAGAAGTTTACAGAAGAAAGATTAGTAACATGACAAGAACGTGGGGAATTAATGGGTGTTAGAGGTTCCAAAGAGTGAAATCATTTGCCCAGTGAGAACGACTTTAAGCCATATCACCAACAGTCTCCATCTTTTAATCCTCGAGGTTGTGAGGACCCCGAACAAGTACCTCCGTACAAGGCTCAAACCGGCTGTTAAAGACTTTATGGATCAGTACCAGATTTTGATTTGACCACCTCTAACATTTTTTCAGCCTGGCCTATGTCAGCTAACATTGCTGCACGTGCAACATATGTCCTTCTCATCTCAATCGATGTAGCTTTGCAATGCCATAGATTGACTTTATTACCCAGCATTCTAAACCTAACTTCAATATCACTTATCATATTGTACCACTGAACACTGGGAGTAGGACGCAAAGATCTGTAGTCAAAGACAACTTACTTTTCTACATCTCTTACTTTAAATGGCATTGTCTCAGCTTTTAAGAATGACAGAGCGAACTTCTGTGTGGTACACATATCCTTTACTGGATAGCAGGGTATCGTGTTCACGCCAAAGATGATTTAATTTGTCAAATTGTGGTGAAAGCTGGCTGCTAGCCAAATTGGTAGACATTAATTTACGTCGATGTTTATGTCCCAAATATTGGTCGTGAGAAAAATAAGAACAAAGACTTTGCGTAGGCAGATACAGTTAGCATATAGATGATCTGATTTTCAAGAAACAGCCACAAAGAGATGAAGGATTAGCTTTCAGTGAGAAACAACTGGTCAGAAGACTGTGTTTTTCTGCTGACAGTAATCTGTAATAATGTACATGAAAATCTATAAATATGCGTTGATTTCCTTAATAAACGATCTGTTGTCTGGCCCTTGTCTTCTGTTGTTACAAAATGACAACCTAGCATGCATATATATATATATATATATATATATATATATATATATATATATATACTCGAGCACGATTGACTGTAACGGTCAACATTCTTCGTACACAAGGACAGAATTTCCCAACCGGGTTAGCTTAATCCACATCTCTCAGACGTTACTTGCTCATAGGGGGATCCAGTGAGCATCTTCCCCTTAACATACCTCACTATCATAAAGTTTAGTTTTTTGATTGAACACTAGTAACTAGTGTGATGTGTCTAGTCCTCTCATTAGTACGGACTGAATTCTATCAGTCAGGTTTGTAATGTGGCCACCATTCTAGGTAGCTCGCCATCACGGTGTGCACATTGATTTGATGATATTAGATGGTTGGAGGCAATCGGCTACAGGAAGCTTTGCTTCACCTAGGTTTCGTGCTAGAGTGGGCACGTTTCTGACTGCAGGCGGCACTGGGTGACGCGAGCTCGAATCTCAGAAGGGACATGAATTCCTTCAAGGCGGTTGCACATACGCCTTGCTGACGACCGGTGAGTGCCAACTAGCACGGCTTCCTGTGGCCGATTACCTCCAACCATCTAATATCATCAAGTTTAGCTTTTGTTAACATATATTTTGAGTTGTCATTCATTCATAAGCGTAAGATAAACACTATAGCATTGATTCCAACAGTTTCTGGATAATCGCTTACTTTAACTACTATACTTCATCATTTTACTATACTGTTGTTCAGGTACAACTATACAAATACATATAGTGCATAGAAAATTTTTCAAGACTTTATCGTTTAAATAATATGTATATATATAGCAAATGTTAACATCCAGTTTCCTGGTGTAGAAAAGAAGTCTTTGATATGCCTGTATATGTATATACACATGCCAACAAGAAAGTCCTATTTCCCCCTAACATAAACACACTGTATGCTTATGATTACCAATGTGTACAATGCTGCGGAGTATAAATAAAATCAGAATATATATATATATATATATATTGACAAAGGTATTCTTTTGATGTTGTTTTAATGATACGTTAGCTACGTTGCGTTTTTCTTCATCTTCTTTCTTTCTTTTCTTATACCGAATGCTATCTATTCCTTCCGCTGACGTAATTATTATATAAACGAGAAACAAGCTGGAATGACTTACTTATTTATGCGTGAATAATACTTGTATATCTTTTGCTCCCTCTCTCTGTCGCTCTATCTCTTTTTCTTCTGTTTAAGGTATATAAGGCATATATGCATCTGTATTACACAAAAGAGAAAGAAAGCCGTGATAATGCATACATTTATTTCTTTATTTATTTTATAATGTCTTTTCTTTATTACCTTTCACATTCCTGCAGAGGTATTTTCTATACGATAGGATAAATTTCCATTAAAAGTAATGCATATATTTATATATATATTTCTGACAATTATATATCGATGAAGTAATTAAACATAGAAGGATAAGATAGGAGTAACTTTAGAAAATCAATTATATATATTGGTTATCTAAAGAAGTTAGTCCAATAATTAGATTATCCAAGGTAATTAGGTGAAATGATGCTTTATTCTTGTAGAGTGAGTGCTGAAAAGTTATATTGCACACTAATCAAGGCAATCTACTTGAACTCATGAAGAATGGTGTAAAAGCCTATGAAGAGTTGTCATCTAAAGTGATGACAATCAGAGATATCTACAAGGGAGGGATGCCGTATGTGTATTCAATTTCCGTTTAATTCCATCGTAGAAGAGGGTATTCATGAACTTTAGCAACTTAGGCATCGACTTGTCACCAGAGTATAGTTTTATCCACTTGCGTGAAGACGCTGATAAAATTCAGAGTCTTCTGAAAACATTGAATAGAAATCCCTTAGACTTAGGGGATCAGCAACAAACATTTATCTTGTTTTTTTTTCAAAGTTAAAGTGTTGGAAGAAAAAATTTGTTTCCTGGGAGTACTGGACAGCTGTTTCGTCCTAGTCAGTACGCACCCACACTGCGAGGTTCGAAACCTGTAGGGTACAGCAAGTCGAAGATAAGGCAGTAATTCATCGAAGAAGACATTGCGAAGTGGTCGCGCTATGTCATGAATTGGCAGAAGTTAGAATTCAAGGACCATGGGATCGGGTCACAGTGGCTTAATGGTCTATGAGCTAGCTCGCCTTGTAACCAGAAGGTCCTGGGTTCGAACCATGGTGGGGGAGTGCGTACTGATGAAGAGTCCCAAAGGGCTAGGACGAAACAACTGTCCAGTACTCCCTGCAGGTTTTCCAGTCGTTCTCTAATTGACGTCAGTTCATGATGAAAACCTCCATGCAATCAAACAAAAAAA